ATGGTATAAAATAGGTGTTACAAAAATATGGTTGAAGTACAACATGTTTTGCTAATATTTATATAGCATGCAAAATCAGGAAAAGTTCTAAAATTAACATCCTAGGCGTGAGGTTAATTTCCTCTGCATGAAATCACTTATAGAATAGTAGTTTTGTTCATTAAGCCATTTGTGCAATTTACGCTTAAATAGATTTATATTAAGACATTTCAAATCATTCGGTATATTGTTATAGATACGGATACACATAGCCAAGCAATTCTTATTATATTTTGCTGATCTAGGAAAGTCATTTAGTACAAGTCTAAATGGATCTCTACGATTTCGTGGATTGACATCATTTGCAGTTTTAAATAAATCTTTGTTTTTTGTAACGAACATACATACTTCATAAATGTAAAGCGACGGTAATGGTAACAAACCAAGTCTCTTAAATATTGGTTGGCATGACTGATCAGGTTGCAAACCGTACATAGCCCTTATGCACTTTTTTTGTGCGAGAAATGCCTTATCCCTATCCGTGCTATATCCCCACATTATTAGGCCATAGCGAAGCAATGATTCTACATGTGCATGATAAGCCATTATTGCTGTATTTAAGTTTGTAATATTTTTTATTTGCTTAAGTGCATACACAAATTTATTTACCCTAACAGATACATGTTCAACGTGGTCCTTCCAATTCATATTTTCATCTATAATTAAGCCCAGAAATTTTGTTTCACCTACTCTTTTAACTTTTGGTATCGTTAGGTTGATGTTATGTTTTGTAGTATTTGATTTATTGAATTGTATGTAAACTGACTTGTCCAAATTTATTTTTAATTTATTATTATCTAACCAATCTATTAATTTATCTATTGTGTTGTTAACATCAAGCGCGTGGTCATTTGTTGTGTTTCCGTTCTTACGCGTTGCAACTATAATCGATATGTCGTCAGCAAAAAGAACACATTTATGGTTGGTGATATTTACGACATCGTTTATGTACAACAGGAATAAAATAGGCCCCAGCACGCTACCTTGCGGTACACCACGCCTGACATTTTTGTATTCTGATATTGATGGTGTAAGTATCATATTTTCATCAATTTTTGATATTGTTACACATTGTTGTCTGTCGCTAAGGTATGAAGCTATCCAGTGATAAGTAGGACCTCTTATCCCATATTTTTCAATTTTGTTTAACAATATGTCATGTGAAACGAGATCAAAGGCTTTTGATAGATCAAAAAACAAGCCAGTGGTCAGATAATTATTGTTTAAGTTTGTTAGAATTGTGCTTATCATTTCTCCCAAATTATTTACCAATGCTTTGGAGGATATGTTCAAGACGCTGCACTGGAATGGACGGGGCATAAATATAAACGGCAAGTATCTCTCACACTTGAGATTTGCAGATGACATCGTCATCGTGGCTGAAACCGTGCAAGACCTACAATATATGCTGAACAGCCTGGCTGATTCTTCTGCTCGCATTGGACTCCGGATGAACCTAGACAAAACGAAGGTCATGTTCAATGAACATGTTCTTCCGGAGCCGATCACCCTGAATGGGTCTACTCTCGAGGTTGTTCAGGAGTATGTCTACCTAGGACAAACCCTACAGTTTGGTAGAAACAACTTCGAGAGGGAGGCTCGTAGAAGGATACAGCTTGGCTGGGCGGCATATAGGAAACTCTATCGGGTCTTTTCGTCAACTCTACCGCAAAGCCTGAAGACGAAAGTCTTCAACGAGTGCGTCCTACCAGTCATGACATACGGAGCCGAGACGTGGACACTAACAGTGCGACTGGTCCACCAATTTAAGGTAGCGCAGCGAGCTATGGAGAGGGCTATGCTCGGAGTATCTCTGAAGGATAGGATCCGTAACGAGGTGATCCGACAGAGAACTAAAGTTACCGATGTAGCCCAAAGGATTAGCAAGCTGAAATGGCAGTGGGCCGGTCACATTTGTCGAAGAACCGATGACCGCTGGGGTAGACGTGTTCTAGAGTGGAGACCGCGTCTAGGCAAACGTAGTGTAGGGCGCCCTCCAGCTAGGTGGAGTGACGATATACGTAAAGTGGCTGGTAGTGGTTGGATGCGTAGAGCTGAAGACCGAGCTCAGTAGCGTGCCATTGGAGAGGCTTATGTCCAGCAGTGGACGAAAACAGGCTGATGATGATGATGATTATCACTTATTTCATTGGTTTATTCTTACTACAATGGGAAGTAAAAAGTTGGAAATGAAAGCAATTTAAAATGAATACGCTATCCGTGTAGTTGCATTAACAAAGACTTGTGTCCATTATTTTACAGTGGGACATAATTAATGCGGCGGCCGCTTACATGGGATGGGGCACAGTCGAGGAATTTCTAGTATACATACGTACTATTATTAAGAATAATAATACATGAACGACATTGCAATTTAGTCTTTATTTGACAAGCTTTTGCTATACAATACTATCCTATCCTATATTTCCTGTCGCGGAGAACTTAACGGGTAACCGAGGCTCCGGCTCGACGTGCAGGAGAAGGAACGGGGTGGTTTTTAGTCAGTAAGAGTCTGACACTCCCTCGCCGCCTCACCCAGACGGGAGAAGTTATTTGATGATTTTCCCAACTTAAAAAAATATTTCCTGATTTTGCAAAAGGTATAGTATTTTGTAGCAGGGTGACAGTCGCCGCGTCGCGGGTCGCGGAATGCTGCTCATGAATATGAGCCTCTAGCACGGCTTGAAACTAGTCGAGTTGCTTGTCAAACAGTTATGTGTACTTATAAACAATCATTTTTTTTAATGATGGTACTAGACTTTTTTCCTGTGTCGTGGGTGCGTTTATAAATATTATTATACAAGTTCATATACCCATGACACCCAGACCTGGAACAAGATTTTGTGGATCACACAAATAATGGCTCCGTGCGGGAATCGAAACTGCGACATGTTGCGCGGCAGCCGGTGGCCCTGCGCACCAATCGCGCCATCAATGAATAAGGCATTGTGTAAATTAATGATCATCAATCAATCATTTCAAGTCTTGAAAGTTATTACTCATTGACTATAGGTACTAGTGTCCTTTTAAACAACGACAAAGAATAGGATGCTAAAACAATGACAATATATAATAATAAAATGCTTAAAAATGAGAACCATACCAGTAATAAACATCAGCACAAAGAAGTACCCACAACACAAAAACAGTAATTAAATTAAAAGCACCCGTGGCTGTCACAACAAAGCAGACTTGCATTACTGTCGACCAATCTCACTGTGGCAGCGAGTAATAAAAATCCAGAATCCAGATTATAATACAGCGTGCAGATAAATTCCATTTTATTACAATTTCTGTATAAACTGAGTTGCCTAGTTATAAATACATTTTTCATAAAGACTTAGTAACTTTTATTTGTATTGTAATGAAATTCTTCGACCATTCTATAAAGTTTTGAGTCTTTAAAACAATTTTGGGTAATGTTTGTTTGTTTCTTTTGTGGTTAAATTGGATTTCTTGTTATGGTTCACCTGATGTTGGACTTGGGAGAGTAGAAGGTTTTCGTAAGGAAAAACATTAGATCGATAAGTCTAGAAGACAGTCGCTTCTCGCAACATAAAATGTGATGAATAAAATTGTGTGCTAAAAAATGGAATTCGAACATTTTGTTTTTAATTTTAATCTTAATTATATTTATATAGCATCTTTAGAAAAGAAGTAAGACCTAAATCTATATATAGTATATAAAAATGAAACCCGTTTCCCGTTGTCACGCCATAACTTGAGAACGGCTAGACCGATTTGGCAGATTTTTTTGTTGTGTTAGTTATCGTTAGGTGAAAAATGTCCTGAAAATCTAACGGGAATGGGAGAAACGGGATTGCGCGTACGAAGTCGCGGGCAGAAGCTAGTAAATAATATTTTTTTTTTTAAAGGGGGAATTTCCAACGACTTCTACCGCCCGCATCGGCAACCCATTAAGTCTCCCGCGGCTCCGTGTCGGCATCAGTTATATTGGACCCCATCTGTGGTAATCTGATGTCTCTTTGAGGCACACGTGGAACGCAACGCGCCGTATGATATGGAAAATAAATAATAATTAAACTCATTTATTTGATACATAAACCGCTCAAGTACAAAAAATACATACATTAATCCAATCTCTATACCAATATCTATCTGACCTCAACTTGAAGCCCACAAACGGCAAGTTATAAGCCTAGACCCTTAGAGATTACTGAACTATGATGTATTGCCAAAGAAATACAGAAAGCAGATAGTTTCATAGATTTCTAAGGAAATTATATGATGATTGATGACGCGGAAACTCGTACGGTTGAGTAACTCACTTTTATAAGAAAAATATTTCTCTTTTGACCATTTTGAGAGCGAAAGATGAGGAATTATGTGCGAAGCAATTTCTTTATTTGATATTATTCGGTTTGAATGGATATCTTGTATAGTATGTGTGTTATGATGGTATTGATCTGAACACATATAAGTTGTTAGGATGAATGGAAGAAATGTAAGGGTACTTGATGTAACTAGCTGACTGACAGACGTTGTGTCTGCCAGGGTTTTCATCTGATTTATGTTTTCTTTAGAAATATTAATAAAATATTACGTACTAGACTAGATTGCCTCCGTCGCCTAGTGGTCGCAAGTACAGCTGCCGGGCAAGGGGTCTCGGGTTTGATTTCCAAATCGAGAAAAGTATTACTGGGCTTTTAAAAAGAATCTTAGTAGTAGCACGGGGTCTGAATCTGTTACATTGTACAGTGGCAGTAAGTGTCGTAATGTGCACCTCTGCCTACCCCTTTGGGGATAAAAGGCGTGATGATCTTATGGATAGAACTGTTTCAAAAGTATTCTGAAGTCATAATTAGTAACATTTTTTGGTACAGTCGTTTGAATAACAACTTTGTTTTAGACACTACAGGTCCAGCTCGCTGGTCATGTTAAATCATCAAAAAACAATTGCACAAAATACATTAACTAATTTTCTGATTACCTTATTCCAGGATCCATCAGCAATAAATAAAGAACCATAAGAATATGAAGTGACCAGAGATTCAAAATGGGCAGCGGTGCCAGTACAGCCACCAGCAGAAAGTGGGCAGGCAAAAAACGGGAGCCACCTCTTCCACCCACAAATGCTGAATCCTCGAGGGTGCTGTTCCTCCTATATTTGATACATAGGACTTGGAATGTTGTGGTGGAACATGTCGATTCTAAAAGTGCCAGGTAATATTATTATTCTTTTAGGCTAGACCTAGCCATAACGTTGTTTTATTTTCTGAAACCCAAGTGCGCAAGGTATAAAATATTTGAAGGCTGCCTCACAATGTCTGATTATGTCTGTTTATCTAACTGACGTGTTATCTAACAGACCCTTAATGTAATCCTTGTTTATTTCACCCGATTTATTGCGAGCGAATCGTGGTGGCCCGGAGGTTTAAGACGCTTACTTTTCATGCATGAGGATACGGGTTCGAAACCTACCAACGGCAAGTACCAATGTGAATTCTTCCGAGTTATATGTACTTTCTAAGATTATTTGGACATCATTGACAAATGGTGAAAAAAAAATCGTGAGGACACCTGGGCTTATAATTTCTAAGTTATAAGTTTAAAATCGCCATCCCACATTGTGCAAGCTTAATGATTAATGCGGAAACCTTCTCTGTGTGAGACGAGGACTTCGGCCACTCATAGGTTGTTTATGATGATTGCGAGCGTCAAGTAAAAGATACCAAAAATCTTTTGAAACAATATTTTAAAACGCAGTTTTATATGAATTATAAAAAAATTCTCCGTGTCTAACAAAAGTGTCAAAAATCAAGTATAATACACCCGATCCAGGAGTCGAACCTGACACTGCTATCACGACAGCTACTAGAGGTATTGCCAAACGACCAATAGACGAGTCTTTTTAAATATATATTAGTTTACATAAAAAACTATATCTCATTCCCCAATGCTTTCAGATGGCGTGGTTCCCACACGGTGCCCAGTTCAGGCGAGGGTCTGGCCCAGAGGTTCGACTCCATCAGTTTGGCGGAGTCCGACCTTGGATCCTGCTACTCCACCTGCAGCTGCAGCTACTGCAGGCTTAGGGAGTGTGCCCATGACTGTGTCAGGTGAGATAACCTTTGCATAAATAAATCAGAATTAT